TTCCCGGGGCGGCGGTTCGGCGGGGGGGGCGGCGGGGGCGGGGCTGGCAAGCCGCGCGCGGGCGTCGCCAGGGGAGCGCGAGAATGCTCGGCGAATGCAAGGTGGGCTGGTGCCACTGCGCGCAGACGACGCAGGGGAGCGCGCCGCGCCGTCGCCCCAATCAGGGTCGCCCGGGGGGCGGGGGCCAAAGGGCTGGAACTCCGCCAGGGGATCGGGCGCCTCGGGGTGCCGCGCGCCAAGGCTTGCCCACCCGTCATTGCTGCTGTGCCTTCTCCTGGGGGTGGGGCCGGCCCGCCTGCGCAGTTCCTGTGCGACTCGCATGGGGGCGTCCTTGGCGAGCTCTTGTAGTGTCCCGAAAGTGAACTTATCTGAACTGACCTGCGTCAGGAAGCCTACGAGGGTGTCCAGGGTGCGTCGCAAAGGGGAAGGGCCGCGTCGGGGCCGCTGGCTTGATGAACACAGAGCTCCGCAACCACACTGGCGGCGGCAAATCGCAGGCCCTGGTCATTGGGGAGGTAGGTGGGCGCCACCAAGTCGCCGCGTGCCTTCTTCGGGAAGGGGCGCAGCCAGGGTGGGCCCCAGCTTTCGGGGGCGTCGGAGCCTACCGCGCCCTTGCCCTTCTCCGCGGGGGAATCCCTCCATGGGTCGTCCAGAAGAGGGTGCAGGTCGCGCCAGCACTCGATCATCCTGACCTCGATGGGCCCGGTGCCCAGGCAGTCCCACTCCTCCTCCTCGGCAGCCTCCAGGTAATCGATATTGAGGTTTGTCATGGCTGGCCCTTTTGGGGAGATTCGCCTCGGGCGGGAGGCCGAGCACCTCCTCGGCCCCGCTCGTCGCGAGGGGGCGATCGTTCTGTTCGGGGGGCGGTCAGGCCAGGGGCGCCTCCGCTCTCGCTGCGCGGGGCGGCCTTGGTAGCTGGGGCACGGCTGGGCGCGAGTTCGTTGGGCGCAGAGTGCTCGTCGGAGACGGGCGGGGCGGAGCGCGGCTTGGTGGTGGGGGCGCGGTGGTAGACAAGATGCGAGTCCTGATCGAGCAGCCAGTTGACTGCACTGGGCTTGGCGACCCATTCGTGGACGATGTATGGGCGGCAACGGCTCGATCCCCCCCCGCTGGGGGGCCGCCCGCGCTCGCTCGCAGAAGCGCTGCATCAGCCTTCCATGCGAAACAGCCGAGCGCAGGCGCACCTGCTTCCCAGGAAAGCGGGGGAACAATGGGTGGGCACCCGTCGCGCGTGGCCGCGTAGCGCTTGGTCTCTACTGCCGCGTACCCGAACCTGTCGTCGTCTATCTGCGTAGGCGGCAAGGTAGCGCTGGCATCCTCGGGGGCGTGGAGGCCGACCCACTCCAGCAAGAAATCGCCGAGGCTGCCTGCAGTCGTCGCGGTGGGGAGCGCCGAGAGCGCGAGCTGGGAGGCAGCGGGGAGCAGCGTGCACACGGGCGGGGGCCGGGAAATATCCCCGGCAAGTGCGACGGCCTGGACGTTGTCGGTGAAGGAGCAGTCTGGGGATAGCAGGTGGCCTTCCTTCTCGGTCGACTCTGTCCAGCACTGAGCGCAAAGCCATGTGCAATTCAACCCGCTGGCGTGCGCCTGTATGGGGGTTGGTCGCGAGATGCGAACGTATGTCGTCGTCAAGCCAAGTGCCCTCATTGTGCCTGAGGGGGGTCTTGTGGCACACATCACACCTGTACCTGGCCGTCGAATATCTTGCGGCGGCTGGTGGGCCGGGCGCTGGTCACCCCCTGGATGGAAGAACGGGCCGAAGCACTTGGGAGACAGCTGATTGCCGCGGGCACTGCTGCGGGCGCGGAGTTGCTAGCACACACCTCGAGGGCTTTGGCGGAGGCCAACCCCGACCTTGTGCCGTTGGCGCTTGGCGCCAAGAGCGCCTACGGCTCCCCCCACCAGCAGGCTTGCCTCCGCGGGCTGGAGGTGGTGGCGCCAGCGCTGTTGCCCTACGCGACTACGCGAAATTTTTCTGCCGCCAAGAGTCCCTGTCCTACTTCTGGGACGCGGCAAAGGTTTGCCACCGCTTGCGCCCCACCAGCGGGGTAGACTAGGGCGACCCGCTGGCGCCGCTGCTTGTCGCCTGCGGGCTGAGCCCCCCGCCTGCCCGCGCTGGAGAACGACTTGAAAGACGCGGCTCTGCATCAGGGCATACACCTAGACGAAGTGCACGTCCTTGCCTACTTGGAGAATGTCGTTGTTCTAGTTCCCTCACCTCGAGACCTGCCCCCTGCCCCTCGCTCGCGCTTGGCGCGCCGCGCTGGCCGGGTTCGCGCAAATGCCGCCGCCGCCGCCGCCGCCTCGCCCGGGCGCGGAACTGGCCGAATTGCCCGCCTGGCGGACGCCGGCTGAGACGCCGCAGCGAAAGCTCCAGAATGCCCTCACAACAAACAAACAAAAACTACGACACCTAGCCGGGGGCCGTGGAGCCGGAGGCGAAGGCGCTCTTCCGCTCCTGCGGCGGGCCGCAGGCAGGCGCCTGGCAGACGGGCTCGCCGAGCTCGACGTGACTACTGCAGCACGGCGCGCACGCTGCTCGGCCAGGCCGCCGCCTGCCCCGGCGCGACCTGCTGCAACCGCGCGCGGACCAGGGAGCACGCCGGGCAGAGCTGCGGCGAGCCGCTCGGCGACAGGGCGCGCCACGCCTGGCGCTGCGCCGAGGCGGCCTCAAGGCGCGCAGCGGCGTCCTTGAGCGCGCCTGGGGCCGTATTCACGCGGAGTGCGGTTTCCGGGTGGAGCACCAGACGCACGTCCCAGCTTGGGACCGCTGGCGGTGGCGCTGCCCGACCTGCGACGCAGGCGGCCACGCGCCGGACCGGCCAGCGGCGCCCTGCGGCACCTGCGGAGCCGAGCTGCGGGCGGAGAGGGAGGAGGCAATCCTCGACCTCGAGGTTCAGCGGGCGGCCCTGGGAACAGGCGGCTGGCACGGGCACGCCGCCTTCCGACTCCTCTGGGAGCTCGCGCGCGGGAGGGCGGCGCTCCTGGGTGAGGAGGCAGCGCCAGCCGCCATGAGCGCTCTGGCGAGCCGCTGACCGGGAGCTCAGCGTGGCCCTCCGCAGGACCACCGCCGGGCAGCTCCGCACCGCCCTCGGCGCCGACGGCGCCGGCCGGGCGGCCGAGCTGCGAGCGGCCGGAGCGGCATAACTGCGCCGACACTGGATTGGCCGCTGGCCGGGGGGCTCTGGACGGCGGCCGGGCTGCTCGCGGTCGCCTACACCATCCTGTCGTTGCTGGAGGAGTTCAGTGTTAGTGTGGCGAATACAGGCCGTGCTCGCTCTGCCAGGAGGAAACGGAAGACCAGAGCAGCAGCGTCAACTTGAGCGACAGCAACCACGAAGCAACCGTGCAACTATGCAACGGATTGCCGAAATGCGTCGTGCCAGCAGCAGGCGCCAAACAAAAGGACGATGTGTCAGCTGCGCACGGCGGGCGAGAGACCCTCTGGCTGTTTTTCGACTTCTTGTTTTCGGACTGGCCAACGCTGATGTGTCTTCGAAGCTCCCGTCTAGTTCGGATGTGTAACCATGTCTCCGCCCCCCCTCCTCCGATTCATAATTTTTGCTGACAAGAGTAGATCTTTACCGTGAAGCTTGCCACTACGCTATGACACTACGCTAACTTCACGCTAACCGTAGCGTAGTGTCATAGCGTAGTGTCACGCCCAAGTGCCCCCATCACTACGGTATGACACTACGCTAACCGTAGCGTACAGTCATAGCGTAGTGTCACGCCCATGTGTCCCCACCACTACGCTATGACACGCTAGCCGTAGCGTAGTGTCACAGCGTAGTGTCACGCCCAAGTGTCCCACTACGCTATGGCACTACGATAGCCGCAGCGTAGTGTCATAGCGTAGTGTCACACCCACGTGTCTCCATTACTACGCTATGACACTAACCGCAGCGCAAAATCCTCTGTCGCGGAGCAAAGTCCAGCGATACCGGTATCGCAGAGTCTCTCTCACCTAGCAGAGTCAAGCACAACCCTAAGGAAAAGGAAATTAACAAAAACTATTTCTTATCCCCCCGCTCAACCGTACCGTAGTGTCATAGCGTAGTGTCACGCCCAGGTGCCCCCAACACTACGCTATGACACTACGCTAACCGTAGCGTAGTGTCCTCTCTCACTGAGCAGAATCAAGCACCCCCCCAAGGAAAAGCAAACGAAAACAAACAATTCCTTCTCCCCTGCCTAAACCGTAGCGTGGTGTCACAGCGTAGTGTCACGCCCAGGTGTCCCCAACACTACGCTATGACACTACGCTAACGGTAGCGTAGTGTCCTCTCTCACGGAGCAGAGTCAAGCAAAACCCCAAGGCAAAGCACACGAACAACAAACGATTCCTTCTCCCCCGCCTCAACCGTAGCGTGCTGTCACAGCGTAGTGTCATGCCCAGGTGCCCCCTAACACTACGCTATGACACGACGCTAACCGTAGCGTACTGTCACAGCGTAGTGACACGCCCAGGTGTCCCCAACACTACGCACACTACGCTAACCGTAGCCTACAGTCATAGCGTAATGTCACGCCCAAGTGTCCCAAACACTACGCTATGACACGACGCTAACCGTAGCGTACTGTTATAGCGTAGTGACACGCCAAGGTGTCCCCAACACTACGCACACTACGCTAACCGTAGCGTGCTGTCACAGCGTAGTGTCACGCCCAGGTGCCCCCAGCACTACGCTACGACACTACGCTAATGGTAGCGCAATGTCGCACCTAGGTGCCTTCAACACTACGCTATGACACGGCACTAGTTTGACTTTCTTCACGGTTAAGAGTTCAAATTCACGGTGAAGGTTAACCCTTTGTGCTGACGGTGAGGAGGGAGGGGAATGGGGAAGCAGGAAGGAAGGAAGAGGATAGAGAGGAAGGAGAAGGAGAGGCAAGAGGGAAGAGAGGCGGGAGGCAGGAGGGTGGGAGGAGAAAGGGGAGGCAGGAGGGAGGATAACCTGGAGGAGCAGGAAGACAGGCGCCCTTTTTGTGCTGGTCGCGTGGCGGCCCGTCTCTTCCAGGGTGCTCAGGAACGACCCAGGAGTCAAGATGGTGCTGCCCCCGACGTAGACCTCCGTGCCCAAGTCCCGCGCGACCTTCGAGCGGGCCCAGAAAGAAGCGCAGCGAGCACGCGGAGACACGACCGCGTCGTCGTCGCTGTGCTTGTGGAAAAAAACCTCCTCCTCCTCCTCCTCCTTCTCCTTTTTGTTGTGGAACGTGCCCTTGCTCAGATTACTGAATGGCAGACTCGGCACACGTTGCCAAACCACCACGTTCGCGTATACAACAGGAAATCCGTGCAAGGGCAGCAACATACATCGCAACATATCTCTTCGGCTCTTCTAAATGCCTTCTCAGCCGCTGCCTCCGGCAGCACGGACTCTGGCAGCCTCTGGTGCCTCCTCCTCCTCCTCCTCCTCCTCAAGGACTTCGGGGGGCCCCTGGTCGCCACGTCGCCCGGAGGCCTGGACCGCTTCCCTGGGAACGGCTCTTCGAGGCCCTCGACGACGACGAGGGAGGACGAGGTCGAGGACGACATGACGACTACGACGACGCCGACGGGGACGACGATGAGGACGACGACGACGACGGCGACGAGGACGACGAAGGCCCTCAAGAGGTTGAACATGTGACAAGACCCCTTTGGCAGCAGCGCGAAATGCGAGACGCGCTCAACCTCGCACCCTCGCGCCGTCCCACTGGAGACGGTCAGATCTGCGACCCAGGCCGCCCAAGCGTGGTTGGGCGCGGCCATCTTCGCGTCATTGCTGGCGACATGGCCTCCCCGACGCCGGCGGCGCCCTTGGCAGAGCGACTGCGACAGCGAGGAGAGGGGCCGGTCTGCGCCTTGACCAGCGACCACAACGAGCAGGAGGACGGAGACGACGACCAGGGCGACGAGCACGACACCAAACGTGCGAGGGAGACGTTGGCGGCCGAAGCCGAGGCCGGGCGCCGACGGCGACCCTGGCGCCGACGCACCGCAGAACGCGTCGGCGACGCCAAAGCCGACCACGGCGGAACGCAGCGCCGAAGCCGACGCCGACGACGCCGACAGCGGGATCGGCGGCCGCGTCGACGGCGGCGGCGCTGGCGGCCGCGAACTTCGGCGAGTGGCCTCGTGCGCCACGCGCACCTCTCAGGGGAACGTAAGACCTGGGTACGGGGGACTCGGAAATCCCCGACGAGGTCGTCAAAAAAATGACGAGGCCGAGCCTGCATTTTGACGAGGCCTCCCGCTGCAGACATCCCACGAAACTCCTCCTCGTCAAAATCCGAGTCGCGGTCGTCAAAAAACGATGGCGAACCCGAGTCCCGGCAAACCCGGGTCTTACGCTCCCCCGAACCTCGGGCATCGTGACGCCGCCAGCGATGAAAACGACCACGAGGCCGCAGGTGGCCGAGCTGGCGGCCAGCGGCTCTCCCGGCAGCATCGGGAACTCCGAGTTCGACCGAGAGGGGGGGAGAATTGGGGAGAGATGAGCGAGGAGGGGGAGGAGGAGGACGAGGAAGAGGAAGAGGAGGAGGAGGAGGACGAGGAGGAGGAGGAGGAGGAAGAGGAGGAGGATCAGGAAGAGGAGGAGGAGGAGGAGGAGGAGGAAGAGGAGAAGGAGGAGGTTCCCGGAAAGCTTCCCGGGAACATGATTCTCGGGTTGCCGCCCTCTCCCCAAACCATGTTTATAAACGCCTGCCAGGATAAACAACGAGAGTCTCAAGCAGCGCTACCTGCCGCCACGCTCGGAAACGCGTCAGGCCCCGAAGCCTCCGGATGCGCCCAACGACACCCCAACAAATCATGTTCCCAGGAAGTCTTACGGCCACTGCCGCCGACGTTGAAGGAGGACGGTCCAGAACACCCAGAAATCTTCCAAACAGGCTTCCAAGAGGGCGCCGAGACAGCCCAGGGCCGCCCCCAGACGGCCCAAGAAAGCTCCAACACAGACGAAAAGGGCCGCAAGAGGCCCCCAAGTGGCCCCGAAACGAGGACATATCGTTCGAACACGCCCAAGATGGCCTCCGGACAGCCCACAAGGCTTCCAACACGGCCCAAAGGAACGCCAAAATCATTGATTGTCCTTAGGTTTTTGATGGATTTCAGATACCCAATGTCGTCCCAACAGGCCCCCACGAGGGCGCCGAGACGGCCCAGGGACGCCCTGCCGCGGGCACAAGGCGGGGCCCAGGACGGAGGCCTCGCACCGGGGAGCCTGGGGGCCCTGCCGTGGCGCTGGGGGCCTTGTAAAGTCGCCCGAAGACGGCCCTGGCGTTTCCAGACAACGAAAACGACCAATGACCGCCCGAGATCACCCCAGAATTGGTCCCTGACTGTCCAAGAGGCCTCCAAGACGCCCCAAGAGGTCTCCAAGCTGGCTCCCAAGGAGCCCCAGGAGGCACAACTAATTTGTTTTCCTTTGGTTTTTGATCGATTTTCGAGTTCTCGCCTTTTGAGTTTCCTGACGCTCCACGACGGCCCAAGAGGCTTTAATTTCCGCTCCAAGGCATCCCTAGAGGCCTCGAAGACGGTCACAAGACAGCCCACAGGGGTCTCAAGACGGCGCCAGAGGCGCGCAAGGCGGCCCGAGAGGGCCCCAAGACGGCCCCAAGATGGAGCCAAGAGGGTTGACACGAACCGAAAATCCGAGTCTTCCACCCCGAGAGGCTCTCAGGAGGCCCCGAGAAGCCCCTAACAGGCTCCAAGAGGCCCCAACAAGCCCCCCAGGGGCCGAAGAGTATCCAAGAGGCCTCCCACGAAGGTCCCAAGAGGCAAAAATCCATGTCTTGCCATAGGTTTGTGATTGATGTTCGAGTTTTCAGCCTTTGGGCGTCCTGACGCTGCAAGACGGTCCAAAAAGGCCTCCAAGACCAATCCAAGATAGCCCAAGAGGCCTCCAACAGGGCCCAAGACAGCCCGAGAGGGCACCAATACGGCCCTAAGGGGGGCCCAAGAGGGGTAAGACGAACCGAAAATCCGAGCCTTCACCCCGAGAGGCTCTCAAGAAGCCCTAGAGGCGCCCAAGTGGGACCCAGGAGGCCCTCAAGAAGCTCCCCAGAAACCCGAAGAGGTTCCAAGAAGCACTGTTTTCCCATCGGCCTTTGATGGGTTTTCGAGTTCCCAGCCTTTTGGCATCCCGACGCTCCAAGACAGCCCAAGTGGCCCCCACGGCCGCTCCAAGATAGCCGAAGAGGCCTCCAAGAGGGCCCCAAGACGGCCCACTAGGGCCCCAAGACGGTGCCCGAGGCGCCCAAGACGGCCCGACAGGGCCCCAAGAGGGCCCTAAGAGAGCCCCAAGAAGGGGAACGCGAACCCAACAGCAGAGCTTTCCGCCCTAAGAGGCCCACAGGAGGCCCCAACAGTCCCCAAGTGGTCCGACGAGGCCCCCCGCAGCCCCCCACCAGGCCCCAAAAGGCTCCAAGATAGCCGAACAGTGCTCTCGATGCATCAAAATTGCTTCAAGGAGGCCCCGGGAGGCTTCCGGATTGCCCCAATGTGGCCGCAAGCCGGGCCTCCACGGAGCCAAGTCGGCCAATTGATTGCTTCAGAGACTGCACAACTACATTTTCCGACTGCCCGGAGAACCCTGACGATGTCCCCAAAGGACCAAAAAAAAACCCAAGATGCCCCCCCGAGAAGCACCCAAGAGGTGCCTCCAACAGCGAATTGAGGAAGCACGGAGGACCCCCCAACAGCCCGTCAGATGCCCCCACGAAGCACGACTGTCACGCGCCTGTGCTTGATAGCGCTGTCCAAGATCTTCTAGCGCGCCCCCGGCCTGGGCTAGAACCTGAGCGCGCGCGAAGCGCGCGCGATGGTTCTAGTGTATATATACATACATACCTACCTACCTACCTACCTACCTACCTGCCTGCCTGCATGCATGCATGCATGCATGCATGCATATGTATGTATGTATGTATGTATGTATGTATGTATGTATGTATATATATATACATAGGTATACACACATGCATATCCTCACCCTCTGCAAAAAAAAAGAGTGCAAATATCGAGGAGAGCATGCATACATATACCCTGCGCGATCATAATTTGCATACTCTATCTGCGCAACAGCTTGTTGACAGGATCGGGCCGAGCAGGCTCTTCGGGAATTGCATTATACCCGAGCGAGCCGACAAGCTGAGAAACCCAACCTCCAGTCGGCGGCAATGACCGAAAACAAAAACAGTGGAGACGGCGGAGGTGCACTTGAGCGGCGGGGGCGGGCGGTGGCCCAGAGAGGGGGGAATGGGTTCGGGGAACAAGTGCGTCCAGATCCTCTGCAGACCAGGAGCGCCGAGCTCGAAGAGCGCGCATAGACAACAACCTCGTTCGATCATAATGTCCATACTCTGCTTGAGCAACAACTTGATGACCAGACCAGGCCGAGCAGGCTGAGGGGCCACCCAGACCCGCGCTGTGCTCTGGAGCCGCCACTCTACAAATGACGCCATCCAAAACCAGCAGCAGTCGACCGACGCGCGCCCCGGCACGAGCCACCTTCTCAGGGCACTTGGCGGCTACAGTGGCCCAGTGCACAGAACTTCCGGGAATCTTCCCGACGAGCACTGAATGAAGGTGATTCGTGAAGAACCAGGCCCCGTGCCCGCAACAAGAGCGATTGACGCACGGCAGGTTTGGAGCCCACCACCCAACAAAACGAATACGCTTCCGCCGCGCAGCACCGAGCGAACACCGGTTAAGCACAAGCTCTCGCGCCTGCCGGTGCTGTCGGAGCTTCGCCTGGGCTCCTTCCCAGCCGGAGGGGGGCAGGGATTCTCGCGCGTGACGGGGGCCCGGAAATGGACGCGGGCTCGGATGAGCTGGCGAGTGGGCGCCCAGGCCCGGTTTCCCAACCCGAAGCCGCCAAGCCTGGGCGGGGGCGGGGCGCGGGAAGCGCAGACGCACCAATGGCGCTTGATTTTGTAAAAAGGACACTTGGACCATGGTGACAAAGGAAAGGCACGCCAGATGCCTTTGACCAAACCGCTGGAAATCCACCCTAGGACACGGCTAGACACGATGCGATTTGTCCAATCAAACTCGGGCCCTTGCAAGCCGCCAAAAGCGATTCCCGACTCGCTCTGGCCGATCAAGACGCGCAATGATAGAGAGGCGCCAGAGAAGAAATATATAAATCTTTTGCCGTCGGGCGAGGACGCCGCGGCAGTGCGACGGCGACGCTTAAGGCGCCGTCGCGCCTCTCGCGCCGGCAGCCGCCGCAGCTGCGCGGCGCCCGCGCTGCGGTCGGTCGTCACTCCTGGCCGCGGCGGCGCCCGCCCGCCCGCTTGAGCCGCTGCGCCCGCGCGTTGGGCGGCGGGGCGCCAGTGCCCGCCGGGATGTCCTCGGCCTGCTTCAACGCGCGGGCGCGCGTCTCGCATCGGCGCGCAGACGCATCGGCGCGTCGCTGGCCTCGCCTCTCGAGCCTCTCGATCTCCCCCAGCGTTCTCGCGCCCCGAAGCGCGTCGCCCGACGCACCCCGCCTCGGGGTGCAAGGGCGAAGCCGGAGGTTTTCCAGGTCGGCCAGCTCCGCGACCCTCGTAAACACCCCAGAAAGACCCGCGGAGTCGAAGGACCTTGGCCTGGAGCATGAAGTCCTGGATGGGGGCCGAAAACCACGTCGTCGAAGAGCAAGCTCTCGCCGAACACGTGCGTCTTCGAAGCCGCGGACAGCCCTGGGGGCGCCAGCAGCGGCGCCCAGGAAGACGCCCTCGCGCCCGGGCGCGGCGGCGCCAGCTGGCCGACCGCCAAGGTCAGGCACTCGGTCGGGCGGAGGCATGTCCTGAACATCGCGCAAGGCAATAAGCAAAATCACGGAGACCGTGGGCCATGGCACCGCCCACCATCGCACAGAGCGCCAACCGGGAAGATGGCGCGCGGCTGAGTCCAGGAGCCAGACGGCGAATGCCACTCAAGGCATTCTTCGTCCTCGGAAGCACGGTGCTGCCTGGGACGTTGAGCTCGGGGATGCGGAAACCCGCGCTCGCCAACACCTGCCCTGTCGAAGTAGGTCCTCGAAACGCCCCGCCAGCGCGATGGCGATCCTCGGCCGGCGTCGCCAGAGATATCTGATCCACATGCTGCCGCCCGCGCGCGGAAGTCGCAGAGGCGCCGGTCGCGCAGCGACGCCGAGTTGCGGCCCGCCCGGCTGACCTCCAAGAAGTAGGCGCCCAGGTCCCAGCACATTGCGGCCTGCGGGCGGTGCGCTTCGGAGAGTCGGCGGGCTCGAGCGCGGCGCTGCTGCGTCGACGGCAGCGATGGGCCCGCAGCCTCCGGCGGCCTCTTCGCCGGCGAGGCGCCCGCCTGCGATCTCTAGCCAGGATCGCTCGCTGTCGGAGGAGCTGTCGGAGCCGAGATCGCGCGCCGCAGAATGCCAGTCGTCGACGGCAGCGTCGGCGCCGGGGAGGTCGAGCTGAGGGGCCCAGGCCAATGTCCCGCCGCCAGCTGGCTGCCGCCCCGCAGGCAGGATCGCGCGCGAGCTGCGGGCCTCGAGAGCAGCGAGCAGCGCGGCCTGCTGAGCGCGCCGGGAGCCTGCGCCCAGCCCGCGGGCGCATGGAGGATCGGCGGCGCAACGGCCCACCACGGGCCCTTTGCGCCGAGAAGGCCCACCGGCTAGATTGAACTCGCTCGGAGCCCAATGGCCGATGAACCCCGCAACTGACGAAGGTGATGGTTGCTGCTGACGCGCGTGGATCTGCCTTTCCCCCGGGCAAGAATGAATCCGATATTATCTCCAATATTATCATGGCGATGATGAAAGCTTTCAGCAGATCGAAGAATGTGGCGAGCGGCGATCACCGCCGCCGCCCCCTCCTGATGCCCCCGGCGCGGCGCCGCCGGCCCCTCGCGCGCAGCTGCCAACTGCTGAAGTCGCCGATGATGTCCAATGTCTCGGCCCAGGTGGTCGAACGAGTTCGGCAGGTCGCCTGAGGTGTCGGCACGGTCGCTTGCGGATGCAATGCCTGCTGCGTTGGCAGCGGCTCCGAGCGCAGCCGCCCGCGCCAGCGAGGCGTCTGCCGCGGCGAACCTCCAGCGCTCCTGCCGACGCCCCCAAGCACGGGCCTGCTCGACGCCGAGGAACCGGCGGGGCGCAGCGGCGCGCCTGGGCTGGCGCCGATTGGCGCCTGCATAAGCCAGAGCCAGCAGCGCGACCATCCACTCAGGCTCGCGCCGAACCGAACGCCAGAGCGACATGCGCGCCCCGCCCCCGCACCCCCCCCCAAAGCCATCTTAACGAAGCGGCGGCGCGCGCGAGGCAGCGAGAGCAAACGCGCTCGACGGATGGCGGACCAAGCGCAGTGACCCAGCAAAGAATGCACCTCGGGCCCGCTGGCGCGCCCCGCGGCCAACGCGCGAAACTAGGCGAACCTGGCCTTCCAGCGCTGAGGGCGGCAGACGGAGATGCGCCCAGAAGCCCGACGCAGATAGAGGCCCGTGAAGCGCGCGATCTCGGGCCCGTGCTTGATCGTCTTGCAGTCGAGCCCGCCGGGCTCCAACTGCTTGGCCGCGTCCGCTGCGATGGTGGCCCGGTGCTCGCCGGCGCCCGCGATGCCGGCGTTGTCGATGTAGACGGCCGCGGGAACCCGGGATCCACCGAGGTCGGGGGCGGGGTGCTTGTCTGTGAGAAACTGGCCGGGGGGGGCGCCCACCTTCTGCGCCGAAGCAACCGCCATCTGCTGACAAAAATGCAGGGCCCAAGCCTCGCGAACACCCTTCGGCTGCGCCCGGCCGCCGCCGGAGCTGTCGCGCCCAAACACCGGCTGTCGCAACAGTCGGCCAGACACCCGCGGCAGCGCGAAGCGATCAACGCACTCCAGGAGGCGCGCGGGCGCGGCGCAAGGCACACTCTACATCCATCTGCGAAAACAACAAATCTGGCTGGAGCTCGACGCTGGACCGCGCCCCCAGAGTTCGGAATACGACGCGTTCGGCCTCTGGAACCCAGCGCTCGCCAGCCTGGCGTTCAGGGCCACGCGATGCATCCTGTTTTTCTTGGCAGCAAAAAAACGCAGCGGCTGCCTGGCGCTTCCGCGTCGAACATTCGGCAATGAGCTTCCACGCGTGACCATGCTCCTAATCAACGTGGGATCAGAGGGGGGCTCGGCGGGGGGGCCCGAGCAACTCAGATCGCCGAGGTCACTCCGTATGAGCGACCTGACGCAGATGTTCCATTTGCAAGGGGCATCGCCAGTCAGCGCCCCGGCACCGTCGGCGACTCCGCGTCTGGAGGGCAAGGGGGCCAGGTCACGCTGGAAAGCAATGCGGGGGCCAGCGTCACAACATCTCGCTTGCGTGCCGCAGGGCTCCAACAAAGATTCGACGGCCGCGCAAGGCGGGGGCGGGTGGCCCGCGCGACGTCGGCAAGATGCCGGTGGGATTCCCGCTGCGCGCGAGATGGCCCCGAAGAAAGCGGGCCCAGCCTGGCGCCGCATGTCATCGATGCGGCCCGCCGATAATGCGGCGGCAGCCTGCCAGTGAGACTCACCGTCGGCCGCCGCGCAACTGACTTGGACAAGGCATTAGAAGACCTGTCCTCGCCTGCGAGTGGTCGCAGAACGGCACAGGCGTTAGAAGGAGCCCGTTCGCCGCTGGCAACAGCCTTGAAGAAGCGGGCCGGGCGAGCAGTCCAGCCCACAAGGCGGTCGTGCCTCTGGAGCGGCGGCCAGGCCCGCCGCGGGGTTGCCCCCCTCGGGCTGGCCCCTTGGCCTTGGCCTCCGCGGCCGCGCCCAGCTGGGCAGCGCCGACAGGGCCACGTAGTTGGGGATCGACAGCGACGGCCGCGGCAGCGGACTGGCTCGGCTCCGCCAAAGTCCACGCACGAGCCAGCTGACGCTCCTCGCGAAGCTTGTGGCGCTCCTCCGACACTGCGCTTTCGCGGTGGAGCTCCGCTGCCGCGCGCTCCGCCGTGGTGGAGCAGAGCATGATCCGGCCCCTGGTCTCGCCCAGGCCAAGGCAAAGAAAGTTGTCGTTCGCCAGGCCGTCTCCAAAATCACCAGGACGGAACAGCACGCTCTGGCACCTGAACTCAGCCAGCTGCGCCCACCTCAAAAAGAGCCAGGCGAACACCAGCTCGGGAGCGATCAACTGGTCGAAGTTAAGCAAGACTCAAAACCTTTCATGGCCGTCTCGTGGTCCGAGATCCATTGGTTCCCCGCCGTGGAGACTGCGCGCGCTCCCGTCGCGCGCGCCTCGCCCTGAAGCGCCCGTTCGTCTGCGCGATGAACGCGACACACCAGAATGCAGTCCGAGGCCCCGTCAAGGGCCAATTACCCCACGCGCTCTCGGCGCAGCTGTCGATGGCCCCCATTCGCGCCCGTGCGCCTCCTGCCGAGCTTGTCGCGCGAGATCGGAAAGGTCCTGACGCCCAGTTCGGGGGAGGCTGTGGGCTCGGCGGTGGACGCGTCCGCGACGATGGGGCGCCCTCGAAAGGCTGACTACCCCGACACCTAGAGCGCACATATACCTGTCTGTCCATAGGCTCGCCGTCGAAATCTGAGTCGGAGATCCCGTCGCTGCTGACCAGGCGCCAACCGCGCTTGGCCGGCAGGGGCAGCCCCGAGCCGGGGGAAAGAGAAACATCCCGCACGAGGTGGAGCACCGCGTGCTCCGCAGCACTCCGCGGCGGAGCGGGAGGCGCTGCAGCGCCGGCGGGAGGCGCGCCAGCTGCTGGAAGACCTGCCGCCGCGATCGCGCCAGACGCTCCGGCTGCAGCAACGGCGCGCTCTTCGCGACGGCCCCGATGGCGACGAGGTGGTCCTACACCATCTCCACCCGACGCGCCCAAAGGGCCTCTCCGAACGCGGCGGGAACCGGAAGCGTCGACAACTCGATGGTTGTCCCCAGGACCCTAAACCCTAAACCCTAAACCCTAAACCCTAAACCCTAAACCCTAAGGCCGACCCCAGGAGTCGGGGCGACGACTCCGCCCGCCCTCGCCCCCGCGATGCCGCCGACGGCGGGGCGGCGCATGCGGGATGAGGAAGCGGAGGATGGCTCGATTCAAGCATCTACGATCTCGAAGAAGGTCGAGCAGGAAAAGGAGGGAGGGAGGAGGATGAAGGTGCCTCGGTTGGAGCATCTGGCCCGTCGTGGCACTTCCAAAAGGAAGGTACATGATACTGAAGAGAAGGATGTATCGGCCAATGTGCCGTAGACATGTTGGGGCGTATCAACGTGCTCGTGTGGATATGGTAAAATATGTTTAGTGTGTCTGTGGACCGCCCCCAACCCCGTGCCAGCAACCGATGTCACACATACGCCTCCGACAATTCTCTCTATCTGGCGCTCTTTTCGGCTTCCAGACGGCTTCAAATTAAATAAAAACAATCCAAGACGTCTGCAAGAAACCCCCAAACCATTCAAAGACGGCCCAATCAACCCCCAAGGCTCCAAGACCTCCCCAAGATGTCCCCACAGGGACGAATAAGCCTCCAAGAGACTCCCAAGGAGGCCTCCAGCGAGGCCCGAAGAGGCGAACAAACTGCTAGGGGCTAGGGACAATCACTGGTGATTGATCCCAGGGTCTTTCGGCTTCAGATCGCCTTGGGGACCCAGGACGGTGCCAAGACCGAGGGAACGACATCGAATTTCAGACCCACGCGAGTAGACAGCGCGCTGAACTGGTGCATGTCTTAAATTCAACATCCTTCACGCGGCGCTGCTTCGATGCTGCGCTGGCACGGTGGCGGGGCTTGCCGCAGGCATCTGGATACCCAATATCGCAAAAAGAGGGATGCTGAGGAGGAGAAGGAGAGAGGAAAGGCATGAGGCGGAAAAAGGATAACCCATACATCGGACGATGTGCTCTTCAACGCGCAACCACAAAGGCCCAAACCCCTTCCCCAAGGGTCGTTTCCCCTCTCGGATTCATGTCCGATGCACCTGGCGCTCGGGCCCTGGAGTCCGACATCGAGTAAAAACAAATCGCATCGTCGGAGACCTGGGAATGAGGAGGCGGGACGAGGGCGAGCAGTAGGAAGAGAGGGCGAGAAGGAGAGAGCCGAGGGCGAGGAGAGATGGCGAGGAGGAGGAGGAGCTGGGCGAGGAGGGAAGAGGGCGAGAGGGAGGGAGCAGAGAGAGCAGAGAGGAAGGCGAGGGGGGAGGGCGAAGAGGAGGAGGGGCGTCGACGGAGGAGGCACGAGCGGACGGAGGGGGGCCACGACCGACGTCGGCCCGCGGACCCCGTCGGCCCCATGGGCAGCTCGTCGGCCCCGTCGGAGACGGACGGTCCCATCTGGAGGGGGGACTCCGCCGCCGTCGTCGTCTTCGCCGCCGCCGTCGTCGTCGTCGCCGCCGCCGCCGCTTTCGTCGTTATCTTCAATGTCGCCGCCGTCGCTGTCGTCGTCGTCGCCGCCGTCGCCGCGATCGCCGTCGTCGTCGTCATCGCCGTCGTCGTGCGTCGCCGCCGCCGCCGCTGCCGCTCGAGCTCCCGGGCGCAAGCGTCGGCCGCGCACACGAGGGGGTAGGGGGAAGGGGGAAACTTCTTATTCTTAGGAGGAGGCTACTTCTTCGAAGGCACCGGTCCGACGTCTGCAGACAAGGCCTGCGCCTTCTGAGAAGCAAGGGTCCTTTCAAGAGGCCGTCCTCCCTCCCCCTACCTCCTCTCCACGTTGCCGAAAGTGGGTATCCGACTGCATCTCAAGAGTTCCGACGAGTTGTTTGTCAACCCTGGAATTGTTGTTCCTCGATTTCGGCCCAGGGCCAGCACTCGAGCCCGGGTGGCATCGGAAGTGGATCCAGGGCGAAATGCTGCATCTGGGGAGAGGGTCGGGAAAAAATGAATAAAAATACCGTCGCTTGACTGTGTAGCCGACTGCGTCCCCCTCCTCCCGCTTCTTCCTCCGCCTTCTCCTCCCTCCTCCGTTCCCCCTTCCCTCCTCACCCTCCGTTCCTCGCCGTGTTGAGCAAATGCTCTCTGTCGCGCCAGCAGACTGGTCCGTGGGCCGGGCCAGGCGTGTCGCTTGCCACTTCCTTATAACCTGTTTTCCAGAAACTTGAAACTTTTCAAGGTTAAACGGACGAGCGCCACGCACATTAATCTCAACAGTTTCCACGGATCGAGGCTGGCTCCTTTTCGGATTGGGGCGCCCACCTGAGGCGCTCGCAACAATGATTCCACATGTCTGAAGCTGTGCAACAACTACACGGATTGAGGACAGGTCTTCTTGAAAACGCAGCGGTCGCTGGGCATCCCCTGGAACATTTAAATGCTACCTTGTCGCGTTCCTTGCAAAATGAATAGGGTCCTTTTCAAAACGGAGTTCTGGCCTGCTTTGCGGGCCCATGGGACGGTCGTTTTTGAAGGTGCCTCCTTCCCCTCCTCTTCCCTCTCCTCCTCCTCCTCCTCCTCCCTCTGTTTTTCCTCCTCCTCCTCCTTCTACCTCTTCCGCCTCTCCATCCTCTTGCTTCCGCGGGCACCCTCGCGTGCACAGGGGTGTAAGAAAGGGATACCAATTCAGAAACCAAAAAGCGGTACTAAATAAAAGGAAGAAGCGCGAATCGAACGGAAAGCACGGGAAAAATGCGGAACAGCTGACAATAGCAGTATCGACCAGCATGCACTGAACAGCATTATTACTCGACGTCTACCAAGAACATGGAAACACACATGGCCACAGCCGCATGCGGAACGCCTGGAGACCACGCGGTGGATACATACGCGGAAGCCAAACGTGGCTGGCCAGAAAAGGGCCGAACGCTGGGAACACAGGTGGCCGTCAGCGCATCCAGCTCTCCCCCAGGCCAAATGCGCGTCAGATGTACCAGACGTCCTGGTACGCTGTAGACCCCAACATGACGGACATCAGCGTCGCCAGCAAATTATATCCCAGTACCTCGGCCGCTCGACACCCAAACCAGATCGACCCGCGAAAGCCCAGCGGCCAGAAACGAAGCAAAGCCGCCACTCCTTTCCTGTTTTCTGTGGCCCGGCTGGCGATCATGCGAGGGAGCCATGGTCTCATATGACTATTGTCGCGCACCTCCTGGTGTGGGTGATCGCCTTGAAACCGCATTGCCACGTGTTGCAGTATTTTCCGCCCGCTCCCTCCTCCCCGGCGTCGTCCTGGTTTTCCCCAGCCTGTATTGAAATGGGCTCTCGTTTTGAATCCGCACCGCCGCGCATCCCCCTCACTCATTCCTCCTCCTTCCCCTCCAATCCCTTCCAGTCATTCGCCGGAGGACTACGGTTTCCAACGGCACCAAGATGTAATGGCTATGCCAATCAACACATCGGTCTCGCTGATCATAATGGGTGCATCAGAAACGCTTCTCTTGACCCAACGATCCAGAGTGTACGCCGGGCGATGGCTTGGTAGGGGAGGGGCGGCGGAAGGGTACCAAGCCAGCGGGGTACCAAGCCGGCGGCATCGTGGGAGGGCGGGAGGAGGAAGGGGGAAGGGCTCCCGGATACCAAGCCGGCAAGGTACCAAGCCAGCGCTGGCTTGGTAGCGGGTGGGCTGCGGGGGGTATCAAGCCGGCGGGGTACCAAGCCGGCGGCATCGCGGGAGCGCGGGAGGGAGGGGAGGGGCTCCCGGATACCAAGCCGGCGGGGTACCAAGCCGGCGCTGGCTTGGTAGCGGGGGCGGCGGGGGGAGGTACCAAGCCGGCGGGGTACCAAGCCGGCGGCATCGTGGGAGAGCGGGAGAGGGGGGGGGGGAAGGGCTCCCGGATACCAAGCCGGCGGGGTACCAAACCGGCGCTGGCTTGGTAGGGGGCGAGCTGCGGGGGGTACCAAGCCGGCGGGGTACCAAGCCGGCGGCATAGCGGGAGCGCGGGAGGGGGGGAATGGCTCCCGGATACCAAGCCTGCGGGGTACCAAGCCGGCGCTGGCTTGGTAGGGGGCGGCGGCGGGGGGAGGTACCAAGCCGGCGGGGTACCAAGCCGGCGGCATCGTGGGAGGGCGGGAGGGGGGGGGGAGGGGTTCCCGGATACCAAGCCGGCGGGCTACCAAGCCGGCGCTGGCATGGTAGGTGGGAACCCCTGGGGGGGTACCAAGCCGGCGGGGTACCAAGCCGGCGGCCGCTGGCTTGGTAGGGAGGAGCCCTGGGGGTACCAACCCGGGGTACCAAGCCGGCGGCCGCTGGCTTGGTAGGGAGGAGCCCCTGGGGGGTACCAAGCCGGCGGGGCACCAAGCCGGCGGCCGCTGGCTTGGTAGGGGGAGCCCCCGGGGGGTACCAAGCCGGCGGGGTACCAAGCCGGCGGCCGCTGGCTTGGTAGGGGGGAGGCCCTGGAGGGGGACCAAGCCGGCGGGGTACCAAGCCGGCGGCCGCTGGCTTGGTAGGTGGAGGGGCCCCGGGGGGTACCAAGCCGGCGGCCGCTGCTTGGTAAGAGGAGGCCCTGGTAGCCGGCGGGGTACCAAGCCGGCGGCCGCTGGCTTGGTAGGGGGGCCCCCGGGGGGGTACCAAGCCGGCGGCCGCTGGCTTGGTAGGGGGGTCCCTGGGCGGGCCAAGCCGCGGGGTACCAAGCCCGAGGGGGGGGCTTTGGAGGGGGTACCAAGCCGGCGGGGTACCAAGCCGGCGGCCGCTGGCTTGGTAAGGGGGAAACCAGGGGGGATACCCGCCGGCGGCCGCTGGCTTGATAGGGGGGAGCCCCTGCGGGGGTACCAAACCGGCGGGGTACCAAGCCGGCGGCCGCTGGCTTGGATAGGGGAGAGCCCCTGGAGGGGGGGGGGGGTACCAGCCGCGGGGTACCAAGCCGGCGGTCCGCTGGCTTGGTAGGGGAGAGCCCCCGGGAAGAGGTACCAAGCCGGCGGGGTACCAGGCCGGCGGCCGCTGGCTTGGTAGGGGTGAGCTCCTGGGGGGGCACCCAAATGGCGGCCGCCTGCTTGGTAGGGGGGAGCCCCTGGGGGGGGGACCAAGCCGGCGGCCGCTGGCTGGGGGGAGCCCCCTGCGGGGGTACCAAGCCGGCGGGGTACCAAGCCGGCGGCCGCTGGCTTGGTAGGGGGGAGCCCCTGGGGGGGAGGGGGGTACCAAGCCGGCGGGGTACCAAGCCGGCGACCGCTGGCTTGGCAGGGGGGATCCCCTGTGGGGGTACCAAGCCTGCGAGGGTACCAAGCCGGCGGCCGCTGGCTTGGTAAGGGGCCCCGGGGGAGGTATCAAGCCGGCGGGGTACCACACAGGCATACCCTAACGGGCGGGTCGGGTCGGGCGATACGTTAAAGTATGATGAATCATCGAGCTGGCGCGTGCGTGCCCTAACGCGCGGGTCGGGTCGATCGGGTGGGACAATAAAATATGATGCATAATCGAGTTGGCACGTGCGCACCCTGACGGGCGGGTCGGGTCGGGCGGGGAAGACATTAAATTATGATGCCCCATCGAAATGGCACGTGCATACCCTAACGGGCGGGTCGGGTCGAGCGGGTGGGACATTAAAGTATGATGCATCATCGAGTTGGCACGTGCGTACCCTAACGGGCGGGTCGGGTCGGGCGAGAGACCCTAGCGGGCGTGCGAGTCGGGCGGCGGGCGGGGCCCTAACGGGCGAGCGGCGAGTCGTGCGGGCGGGCGCCCGCGCGCTCCCTGAAACACCACCGCACCACGCCACACATGCAACACCACCACGCCTCCTCATCCCCCTCATCCTCCCCCTCCTCCGCTTCCTCCTCCGCCCCCCGACCTCCTCATCCTTTCTTCCTCCTCCTCTTCCTCCTCCTCTTCCTCCTCCTCTTCCTCCTCCCCCCTCCCCAGCCTCCTCCACCTCCTCCTCCTCCTCCTCCTCCTCCTCCTCCTGTCCCTCCCCATCCCCCTCCCTCTTGGTGTCGCTGGTACCGGAGGCTGTCGAATACTGGGCGCTCTCTTGGAGGCGGGGCCTATTGAGTACCGAGTGCTGTCTTCAAGATGGGGACTGTTGAGTACTGGGCGCCCTCTTGGAGACGGAGCCTGTTGCGTACTGGGTGCTCTCTTGGAGGCGATTTTCTTTTTTAATGCAACTTCGCAGGGGCCTCTCTGATATCGGACGCTGTGGAGTACTGGGTGCTCTCTTGGAGGCGGGGCCTGTTGAGTACCGAGTGATGTCTTGGAGACGGGGCCTGTTGAGTACTGGGTGCTCTCTTGGAGACGGGGCCTGTCGAGTACTGGGTGCTCTCTTGGAGCCGGGTTTCTTTTTTAATGCAACTTCGAAGGGGCCTCTCTGGTATCGGAGGCTGTGGAATACTGGGTGCACTCTTGGAGGCGGGGCCTGTTGAGTACCGAGTGCTGACTTGGAGATGGGGCCTGTTGAGTACTGGGCGTC